GCTTGACTTTGCCGTTTTATAGGGTGTGAATAGTATTTTTTCGTTTTTGATTTCGTCGAATGTGTGTTTTGAGATTACGTTGGCACATGCTCCTGTGTCGATCAGTACTCTCCTTTGAAGGCTTGGCGCAAATCTTATTTTCATATAAGTTAACACCGTTCCCTATTTAGGGATAACTGCGTGCAGATCAATAATTTCATTGTTTTGTACGTCTTGAATGTTTAATTTGCGTGATTTTCGTGATTTAAATAATTTGGCTGACTGACTTTGTGGCTGACTTAGTTTTTTGGTTCCATTTGGAACGGGAAATTCTGTTGCTGCTGTCCCTGGGGCTTGGGTTTGTACGAACATTGACTAATAGTATGGCCAAACTTCCTGCAGTGGTCACAGAACTTTGATCCGGTGCTAACTGCTGATGTATTAGGGTCTTGGGTGTGCACCTGCTGCATCTTGGGTTGTGCGGCTCGTTGGGAAAACGTGGTGTTCGGTTGTGGCTGTATAGCTATCGCTTGTTGCTGTTGGGTTTGAGGATACATCTGGTTCGGATGGAATTGGGTGTTCTGTTGTGTTTGAGGATAGTTCTGGTTTTGATGGAAATTTGGGTTCGATTGCATTCCAGAGATCTGTTGATGAAACTGGAACATTTGTGGGGGGTACTGCATATTTTTGAATCGAGCGAAACCTTGGTTTCCGTATCCCCCATTTCTCAGCTGTCCAATCCTTTTCCCCTACCGAATATACCTCTTCTTTGGTTGTATCCTTGTTGCCCATATCCATTTCCTTGAGTAGGGCCAGACGTATTGTTCTGATTTGAGCCATTTCCAGTCCCTTGACTATTTGCATGATTTCCTTGATGCAGTTATTGCTGGGCTTGACTGCTATTCCCACCAATGTTTTGACTATTCGGTTGAGGGCACTGCTGTGTGGTTCCGTTGCCATCTTGTGTATCATTTTTCTTTGATCCGATAGCTCACTACGGACTTCGTTGAGTTGTTTTTCAATGTGTTCCTGGGCTGTTGTTAACTTTGACAACGCACTGATTAGGTTGTGAGAAACTGTCTCACCTAATTTGTTGAAGCTATCTTCTGGGTAGTCCTCATTACGACAGACGTCTCTAATTGTCATTTCTTTGCGTGCAAGGTTGCAAAATTCTTGTACTGTTGTGGCAGCTGGTTGTTCCATCATATCGAACGGAGCCAGTTGGGCATGCCTTTAATAAAGATACGTTTAATCTGAGTGTTCTATCATTTTCTACGTCGAGTCGTTCTCGGCGTTGCGCCGTCTCTCCATGGAGGCGCGCTGATCTGCATCGGCGGCAGCGCCTGCTTGTGTTCCATCAATTGTGGCAACCGCAGGTAAGTCCGGTGTCGGGTAGGCTCGTTGTGCCTTTTCTGTGAGCTCTACCAGGTAATTATCTGGTGAGTCCTTTTTGATATCAAACTTCGATTGTTCGAGTTTTAGGACATGAACCTTTTGCAATTGAGGGTTGCAACAATGGTCACGTAGCGCCGCTAGACTAAGAGGTACGTTCGCTCTCGTTAGCGCTGGCAGTGTTTGGAAGAATTGCAACGCGTTGCCTCGCAGGTGCAGTTGTAGAAAGTTCGCTTGCTGATCATTCGCGATTCCCGCTACTCCCACATATCCTTGGAAGAGCTGTTCGAATTGGGCGAAATATTCGGTATCGCTTCCGCCAAATGGTTCGACTGTGACTTGGGCGTGTGCCATTTTATCACAGTTATTTGATTGTCAAGTCTGATTCGATAAATGATTTCGATGAAACGGTCGATTTTATAGTGGAATTTATCAATGCCCAGTGGGTAATTAGGTTTTGAGGACGTAATTATCGTCTCTAAGGAAATCTAGAGATACCTCGTATTGTGATTAGTTAAGGGTCGGAGTCAATTCACTCTCTTATCTATAATTTAAACTTTCTGCTACTTTTTAAGTTACCTTTCCTTACGGCTTTAATATGATTCCACTATGTTTTTTCCAATTTGGTTTAGTCTTTAAGCACTAGATAGGTTTTCAATAGTTACTCATAGATGATTTCATATGACTGGTTTCTAAATGAGCACTCATCAATTTTAATTTAAGCACCGAGAGTTTTAAGTTTAAGTTTTAACTAACTGTTTTTGTACTCTGTATCACTTTTCCTAAAGAAGTGTGGCGGTTGTCATCAACACAGAACAGATGTACTTTCCTTTTGCCCCCTGCTGTCGTCTCTCACTGGCTGTTTTCAGTTTCTGTTTTTTTGCCCCCTTTATCCTGCTGTTTGAGCAAGTTACTGCCGTGATCGTGTTTCAGCTTTTTGAATTTGGAAGTCGTCTTTTGTTGAAAGTCGTCTTGTTTTTACTCTTCCTTTACAATCAGCTTTAATTCGTCATGAATGGTTGGTAACATCATCCCACTCATAGTCACCATGTAATATACCGTTTCTGGCTATTAATGTTGATCGATAAGTGCTGCTTTGTAGTCTAGAGTGATGAAGTATGTTGTTATGGATGTGCGGTCTAGGCTTAATATCTTCGACTCAGGGATGTGCTTCGTGATGGCTACCCACTTTCTCTAGAGTCTAAGCTGATCGATTAATAAAAGTGAGTATTAATGTTTCACTTACTATTTTGAGCTCCTTGATTGTACTGGCTCTCCAATTCTTCTCATTCTTTCATTCTCCTTATTGTTTGCATTAAGTAAAAATAGATTTAATACTTTATCATTGACGTAACATGGCATTGACACTTTTATCTAAATCGCACCAATTATGGTAATTATTGATTAGCAACTAACATAGGTGTGAAGCACTATAGTACATACAACTGGAAACATTGCCTGGGATCTTCAAAATATCAGATTTGCCCTGAAATGATCCCTACTGAGACAGGCAACGGATCGCGCCTGGCAACTCTTTTCTTCAAAGGGAATCTGGAAACACTGAAAGTAGGCGACACCGCACAGATTCAGTTACCATCCACTGAAAAAGCTAAAATCTAGGATTTGGGGTATGGCTGATCACATCAGCAACATCTGCAAACACCCTCTTCGAATCCGATATAGAATCAACAACCGCCAGTGGAATCGAAAAGTTCCCGGAATTCCATCCATATCTGTATTGTAACACTGAAATGTGGAAAAGTTTGTAGGGCCTAACATAAAAATTCGATCTGATTTAGCAACATGCGAACAGCTCCTAGCAATCAAGATGTCCAACTGCCGGACCCGATATCAAACTTGCTAAGCGAGTTGACTGAATTGGAGGACATGCCGTACTACGACTCAAAAACGGAAGCGGGGATCGAATTATTCAAGGCAGTAAAGAAGAAGCTACTCGAAATCCCTAATGTTCAAAATCGAGAACAGATGAGGAAAATAGCAAAACCGTTAGCGCTGAATATGAGGAAACTTCGAGCTTCGTTCGCAAGAGTGTTTGATGACCGGCTTACATTGAAAGACTCATTTATTATGAGTATAACTTTCTTCATCGGCTCAATGGTGCTCCATGCACTGTTTAAGTGGATCTACCACAAACGCAAAAAGGAGAAAGTGGAACCCATCTCGCTTTTGACCTCCCCTGGCACAAGAGACAACTCTCGATTCAGTGGAACCCACAGCTTGATTTCAAGAAACACTGAACGAAGTGAAAGAACACGCGAATCGAATAAAACTGGAGACGACAATGGAACTCAATAACGAGACAGCTCACGCTTTCACCGCACAGACATCATATATCAACCGGGATGTTTCCAAGTCACAACCAAGACTTCATTCCATGAATGAAAAATTAGTACCACTGAAAAAAAATTAGGACGTTTAAAACACTTTAAAGTAAAACACCTTGTGGTAGCCTCAAAAGTATTTGTTTAACAAAAATTATTACTTTAACCTTTAACACATTTTTGAGAAAATGTATTTATCAATGTGCCGTATAATTCTAAACATATATAAAATCTGAGCAACGGACTGTGTGTGAAACTTGGAGACATCAAAACTGTAACCATATATTTTCTACAAAGAAACAAGGCAGAACAGAACGCTGGCAACTTTCGAACCCGTCGCAACTTCAAGGATGGTAGTGTCACATCCCTAAACTCCATTTAAGGCTGTGATTTATTATTTGACCAACCCAAACTACTTCAAGGCCCTATTTGGTGTTTATGACCACGGACTATATTTTCTGTGACATAACAAGAAGATGTGATCGAGGTTACTAGCAAACATCATTAAGAAAGAAACAGGAAGAAAATATTGGAACTCAAATAATAAACGCCGAAAAGGCTTGATAATGAAAACAGAGTGACCAATCTTTACTTGAAAAAAATCATAAAATTAGAACAGACATCGGAAGAAAGCAGTCATATTTTGATTCATATTTTTATTAACCCCTGATAAAACCCTGACAACACTTAACTATAGGTTTGGTTTAGAATTTACAAATTTTATGAAGTTTTTCGAAATTTAATTTTCTTGAAAAATTTCAAAAATTCATATTTTCTCGGAAGCTAGAAAGATTTCAGCAGATCTTTTTGGAAGCATGATTTACAATCCGTTAAAAACCCTGAAAGCACCCGATCAATTTGGTGTTGCTAAATTTGGAGGCTGAATTTGCAACCCCTGGGGGAACCATGACAGCATCCTAAATATTGTCAAATAAACGAAGCTGGAAAATCGAAAAAAAACTTCTTAAGCGCTACACTATACGATATAGCTAAACGTTAAAAAGTTCATTCGTTAAACATGCAAAAACAATACGTTGAAAAAGCTTCCCAAATATTGTCAAATAAACGAAGCTGGAAAAACGAAAAAAAAACTTCTTAAGCGCTACACTATACGATATAGCTAAAACGTTAAAAAGTTCATTCGCTAAACATGCAAAAACAATACGCTGAAAAAGCTTAAGCATGGTGAGATAGTGAAGCGCGCATTTCGATACATAATAGATAATAAATTCCATCCGCGAAAAAAAATTTAGCGTGAACAACTTAGACTTTTAAAAAACGAGAAAACAAATCAACCAGATTTATATAACTATATTCACTACGTTCATTGACACTTAATAACATAAATTGCACATCAAATCTGGGAGGATAAATTCAGCGCATGCCATTTAACTGATATTGAATGCTTTACAACAAATTGTACTACAATAACTTGCTTGTTATGCGTCTAGTTTTCAAAAAACGCTGTTGTTCATCATTAAGAGAACACTTATAAGTTTCCGTTCAGAAATCCATGACGCTAGTTGGTGTCCTACTTTCATCTCTGACAGTTGAGGTTGACACTGTTCTTGGCGGTCGATTGGCAAAAAAATATCCCCCTGTAGAATGATAGTTGTCGGCGTTTTCGATCAAAGCTTTCTGCAAGTAGGCGTGTCTTGCTAGTAACTCGTCGGTCACTTCAATTTTTATCCGATAAACTCCATCAGAATCCGGTTGCAGATCTTCGTTATTGTTGTCTTCAAACTGCTTTGGAATCTTTGCTCGTACTGACATCTGATGATTTGAAACGTTCGGAGGTCTTCGTTTTAGACTCTGCGCCGAATCTCCTCGATTTTCGCATGCCATTTTGCGCTCTTCATTTTTCCTTTCGCGCCCTGGGCACGTGGATATTTTGAGTCCAATGCTTCGTCTGCCAATCACATTTTGTTTTCTTTCCAAAGTGCAGCACAGCTTCAATGCCCGACGGTTGATGCCTCCAGTACATGTACTCAGACAGGCGAAACTAAACAGACAGTCGACCATCTCAATTTCACTTAGAGGCTAGGCTCTGCACCGCGAACACACGAGTAAAGAAATATATACTTGAAAAAAAAACTAACAAACAATTCGAAAAAAAATATTTTGAAATTCCAGCTCCTCTCTGTGGTACTTCAAAGAGGTAACGCTACCCTGTTGCTGGCCCGATACTGGTGCAACTAAAGGTGATTATCTATCATCCACTTTACTGTCTTAACTTTCGGATTTAAAATACGCGTAGTTTTTTGATTTTGCTGATTTATACCGGTTTCTTGAAATTAATTTAATGTTATTTTCATATTATGAAAAAATAAAAGAAGCAGAATCCGAAACAGAAACCGGTATCCTTGTCATTAGCTGCAAGCTTCAACTACAGGTCCAATGAGTTAGCAGATAACTTAATTTTTTACATTATAAGACAATCTATTAGATTGATTTTGGGCGGATTTTTGAGCTCTTGCTCCATGTTTGTTATTTTTGGGCACTTTAGAAATAAGGCTTTACTTGTGTAAAAATTAAGTATAGACTTATGAAAACAAGCGTTCGGAAAACAGTTCGCTTATAATAATCAAATTCATAATTGCAAAACTACCTGACAAAATGAGATGATTCTGTGACATTGTCCTGAAGTGGGATGACAGTTGACAAGCGTGAAGAGGACTCGTCGTCGTCATAGGCTACGCCAACGCTATTGCACCTTAAAGCAACATGCGTTCAATCAAAAATTTTAATTTCTCTCATTGCTAGCACGTCTCTTTTTTCATTTAGAGAAGTTCGTTCATTTCAAGTATCTCACGCCCCTCATAAATTTACAATATATGGCAATTTGCATGAAGTAACTGTAGAAATCTGTTCGCACTGACAGACTATTTAGTCTTTTAGATAATCAATAACTTTTTAACACGATTTTGTAAAGCGTTTAGAAAAACTAAAGCGGGAAATGGATACGAGCCAAGAAATTTACGTACCTAATGATATGCCTCCTGTGGGCTATCACGTCTTGTGATTGATGAAACGGACAACGGACAACTGAACATTCCAGGTGCTCAGAAGACTCAAACACTGGCAAAAGTCGGACTTGCAACCCTGAACTTAACCGATTCACTTTAAAAGTGAGGAGACATAGAACGTTCTTCTTGATGAAAATTTTGTCCAGAGCATCGGAATAGGTGCAGTTAACTTTTGACGTCACCGTTTCGGCCTCGCCTCTGATATCGTCAGACAGTTCGATCCGAAAGTCAAGTTTACCAGGATAATCATCCAAACAGGGAGTCTTTCCTGTGGCACTAATATCAGTCGATACTGCTCCGTCATCTGATGAAAAACAATTCATATCAAACATACACGCTGCACCTTCAGACTTAAGGAATTCGTTATATTCCTGAGAGAAGGCTGAAGAGCCATTGCTATTTGTTGATATAGCTCTAAGTAATACCGGCTTTTCTTCCGACATCTGAAAATAAAAACATTGTGTGGCTGTTGATCTTATACTGTTGATTACTATAATAGTAAATAGTTGTGCCAGTCGGTCATATTTGGAAGTTTGACCTTGAGCAACACTAAAGACATGATTTTGAGATAAACTCTGGTTTTCAAAAATACGAACTGAGCCTGTCATTCTCACGTTTCTCGCGATAACTAAAAAGACCAGAAAAAAAACAACAGAAGAACCGAATGATAATCGCGGGAAAGTGGTCTTAAAATAGCAGCGGGAAATTGCTATTCGTTGGGGGAACTTTGGGATTTTCAAAAATTCGAATTGAGCCTGTCCTGCTCAAATTTCTCGCGATAACTAAAAAGACCAGAAAAATAACAACAGAAGAATCGAATGATAATCGCGGGAAAGTGGTCTGAAAACAGCAGCGGGAAATTGCTATTCGCAATTTCCAGACATAAAATCGTGCGAGATTAGAGCTGTCTTATTCTTAACAGAAGGCAGAGTGATCGCAAGTAGAGAAAAAAAACAAATCAGAAGTGGACCAGAGTTAACCTTCGGTGGAAAGGTGGACAACCAAAGTTGCCCAATGGTCCAAACCAAAAACTTATTTTGTGAATGCGTTAAAATTGTAAATCCAAACAAACGTTTTCGCACATTTTTGTGCATCTTCAGGTTTTAAAAATTTTAAACTATCTGTACAAAATAATCAAAGGTTGTAGCATTCGCCCGGAAGTACATATCGACGGAAAATAAAGCTAAGCTTGTAACATTCGTCTACTGCAGTCACACATGAGGCTTAAGAAAAATAGGCCCTATAACCATTGGCTCAAGAGTCAGGGACACTATCTCTTGTGTTTTTGTACCTCAAATCAGTCGGAGCCAATTCGGTTCGCTTGTGACATGAGACTACGACCCGTTACAGCTTAAAGGCTACTACTAAAACATCCCCCCACTCTAGAATTAGAAACGTCCCCATACTTAGGTCTCTAGATACCCAAAATACATGAACGCCGTTAAAAACCGGGTTGGAACAATCCGTTAAGTTACTTTTTATTAGACAGTGGAACTTTGATCCATTTCAGATGGATCAACCTAAAACTCGCCTTACCTCAACATAATGATCATAAAACACACTCTAGAAATTTAAATTAGTACTCACATTGTAGCACACTCAAGAACCAGGAAGTAAATAAGTCGGTAAGCAACTCAAGAATCGATAAAGTAACTAAAATGAGTTTAATGTTAGTCAGTTTCAATAACAAGAACAAGTTTTTACTTTAGAATGTGAGTTCTCGTGAACCATTGGGACACTCTAGCTGTCCACCTTTCCACCGAAGGTTCACTCTGGTCCAGTTAATAATAGTACTCCAGTCACAACAATCCAGTTCGTGGGTATGCGCTCGTCTCTGTTTCAGATGGGACAGCTCTACTCTCGATTATTATTGCTACTGAAATTGCGAATAGCAATTTCCCACTGATTTTTCTAGCAACTTTCCCGCGATTGTCACTCGATCGTTCTGACTTCTCTTTTTTGATTTTCAGTTATCGCGAGAAAATCGTGCATGACAGGTTCCATTCGAAATTTTGAAAAACTAAATTTCACTCCAAAATCAAGTGTTTTTTGCTTCTCTCAAGGTCAAACTTCCGAATATGACCGACTGGCACATACTCCCCGGACTCGAGATCGATGTCCTCATCGCGTGCTGTCTTCTGCCAGTGAGTCCCAGAAAACCGAGTGTTACTCAAGATACAGTGCCAGTGGTCATTTACAGAAGTTTGCAGCAGACTTAAGCTTATCTACACCCCAAAATTCACAGCCATGTAAAATTTTCACACTTTCGCTAAACAGCAATCAAAATCTGCACACACCTGCACCCTTGAATTCTTGCTTTCCAAGCCAATCATTTAAAATTTCTTTTGTCCTATTCAATCAGGAAATTGTCATGCAGCATTTTGATTTATATAATAAATATAGTATATTAATAACAATATTTGCTTTGTTAAAACTTCTTTTTCGTGAATCCAAGTTTCACCCGGATCCACGCTCAAGCCCCCCTTTCCCTCTCAACACTCAAGATCCATTCGAGCCACCTGCTCATCTCGCACTCTTCGCCTTGGAGGTACTGCACCCTGACGTACTAGATACGGCAAACTGTCTCAACAGTTCCTCTTCATCATCGGAGCTAATCACAATCTCCTCCCAAGCCTTCAGCTGCTCGTAGGATCGCATCCATTCTCTTTGCTCTTGCAACCTCTTTGCTTGGTTGGGTAGTGCCTTCACCCTAGATTCCCGGTTCAAACAAAAGGAGTTGTGCAGGCTCAAGCTCACGTTCTTCGCCAGGTTCTCCTCTAGTATCGATTCCCTCGCCTTGGTATTGTCTCTAGACATTTTACCCACTCTCTTCCATCCTGTCGTGATTGCATTACGATGGGTTAACAGGGGTCTCTTGAAAGCTTCCGGCCCAATCTCGGCCTGGAACTGTCGATACTCCTTTCGATGTTTTCTCATGTGATCTTTCGTTGTCATGTACAACCAGGACGTCAGCGTCGCCCGAAACCATGGGAAGTACCTCAAACGGCTCCAGACATGTCTGACTTCCGTTGGTATGGCGAATACCTTGCACGCAGTCTCAAACAACTCGAGTCTCCTACTGTAGTCTATCGCGTATATTGACTCTGCCGTTGGCGTCCCCGCTTCCCGATACTTCGTTATATTCTCTTTTATCCATCTCAGAGCCAAGATCGTACTCACTACCAAGATCGTCGCCTTCTGTCGGTGATCCGGTAGTCCGATCGACCGGATTTCTTCCATATCCCACACCAGGCAAAGGTTCTTGTGATCTGGATACCACACCGTTTGCGCTAAACAGTGGCATGGGCATTCTCCATGGGTGATTTCAATGCTCCTGAGGTTACGCTCCCCCGAGGCTTCCAAGAGAGGCTCAAGCTCCATCATTTTCTCATGCATCGTGTCGTTATCTTCCAGGTTTGGAGCACTTCCCACAGGTTTTCCGATCACGTTTTGTCTCTCGTGATTGCTTGTGTTCTCTCTCTCCAACTTCAAAAGTTCTTCTCCCCAGATTTCACTCAAGTCATCTCTCAATTCTTTTGGTACTGTCCCTCTGATTTTTCTCAACAACTTGTGCGAGTGATGCGATATCCGAGCCAACCTCACGCACTTGGGCACTGAGAAGGCCTTGTCCACCAGTACTCTCTGGCTGGATGCTTCCACCATCACCATGTGCAGTGGGTAGTGACTTCCGCACAAGTTGGCCATCATTGACCCTATCAGCGATTTCGCGTTCAATGGCAAGCCATAAGCTTCGCTCATGGGAAATCCCATTTCCGCCTCGAGACCAACCTTCCAGCTCCGGATGTGTTTTTGAGTCACCTGCAACACCCCGGGCCATGATTCTACGCTCAACGCCGTCACTAAATGATGTTCAGATTCTAGTCTTTCCAGTGACTGCAGACTACACATTCTCGAGAAGAATCCGAGAGCTGTCGCTATATTCACCGTGGTTCTCGCGTAACACTCCGCTACTATTTGCACTTCACTTTTCTCCCTTTCTGTTATGTCTTCGAACCAAGTGACCAGGTCTTCTTTTTGAAATGACAGTATTCTAACGCATGACCGTCCATCGCATGTGTGCTCTCCGTTTCCACACGTCGAATCCAGACAGCTACCCGGCTCCAATTTCTTTGCTGACCCGGGATTACTAGTCTTTTCGCCTGGCTCTTGCATCTGAGGTGAAATTAGCTTATGCAGCACACTCAACTTTGCCAGATCTTCATCTTCCGTTGGTGCTAACCTCACTCGCTCGGTGGTTTCTTCGATCAGACTCGCGTGGGGATGTGGACACCAGGAGGGTCTTAATAGCTTCCATACCACTCCCAAGTTCGTGGTTAACAAGCCATTTCCATCGCCCATGTTCACTTCAACTCTCTTGTTTGAACGCGGTATGCTCACCACCTCTGATGTTTTCTCAAGAATCAGGCCCAGGCTCGGCCCCTCTTTTTCCACCGCGTCTATTTCCATTATTCTTTCTGTCCAAAACTTCAGTAGCTCCGCTACCTCATGGTTCCTGTGGGCGCCTCCAGCTTCCGAGTCTAAGAAGGGGTTGTAGGCCATTCCCATCACTCCAGACACATATTGGTATTCCCCCTTCTCGCTGATTCTCGAGTACTGCTCTGACGAGGCCAGGTTACGGTGAACATCATGTTCTTCTTTGAACTTCTTATTATAAAACCTCCGTACCTCGTCTAGCTTCCTATGGTTCTCTAGGGATAGTCTGGAACCCTCTTCCTTTTCTATTCCTGTGCTCTGATACACGTTCAAGATGACCGTTGAGACTCTTTTTTCCATGGTTTTGCTTACGCTTGCTCTCTGTTGGCATGCCAGGATGGTGCTATCAGACATCATCGACATTATCCATCTCAAGAAACACGTGGCATCCTTTCTTCTGGCCAGGCTCAAGCCTGAGTTGTCCCTGGCTACGTGTTGCATCAGTGCCTGATACACATCTAGCTTCCTGCTTCCCAACTTCAGCCTGTCATACGAGGTCAGTGTTTCCAACTCTATCCCCACCAGACTCCAGGTGAACATTAATTGTCCTGCAGTTCTAACGAAGGGATTCGCCATTAATGGTGGTGCTGATGAGGGTGTCCTCATTGCTTCTTCAAAATGATCCTTCAACAAACTCTGCCAGGACCTCTTCAGATGATTTGCCATTTCTATTCTATTAACCTCGGCCTTTTGCTGGGTGGCCCAATTGCGTCGCTTGCGAGCTACTCCACTGTCCAACTTCTTCCAGCAGTCCTCCATTTCTTTCAATGTTTCAAGGGCCACCCACCACGTCCGGGAGGTGTTCCTCGTCTTGTTCCTTTCCAATGGATCACTTGTCACTCGCTTGCCCGTGGCCTGGTGTGCCTTCGAGATCCATTCTTTGCCGACATCTACTTCCCATGTCTGTCCGTTCGTTGAACCTCTCTTCACGTTTATCTTCTGAGGCTTGAAGTCTTCCTCCGATGTCGAACTGGTGGAAACCTCTATTTCCCTCTCTACTTCAAGTGGTCTTCTGAGCTCCGAGCTGCTCTTGTATGCCGCCGTCTTACATCGAGCCAAAACCATGGGCGCCGTCTCT